TATATATATATATATATAGTTTTGTGATAAACATTTATGTCTCACATATTGCAGCAGAATCTGGCTGCAGTGCTGGAAAAGGAAGAGACTGTGGGATTCGTAAATGGGAAAGATGACATGATGCTGGTCCCAACCATAAGCTCATCAACATCCAGCATCCTCAAAGGACTCTTCATGGTTCTTGACTTCCTCTTCAGAGACAACTGCAGGTATGTGTCTAACAAAAACATAAAAGTCAATCTATGTTATTTGAAAATACCATATTGTACAGATTTGTACTGAATACTGTTGTTGCTGACAAACTGCATCCGTCTTTCCATTCTATGTACTGACTGTCCTTACTTCCACTGGTGTTAATTTGTTGACTTTTGGTGGCACCAGTTCCCAGAACTGAATACTGTCATGTAGACTGAATGCCAGAGATGCATGTAAATGATGTAAATGTATATTTCTTTGTGTCTGGTCATATCTAGATATTCTGAAGACTACAGAGTTGTACTTCAAAAGACATATTCTTGGACAACCAAAGCCAAGCCTTACATGAGTGATGCGCAGGGGTCTATGGTCCAACGAGGCAGACAACATCAAAAAGTCAAAGTGAAGACTGAATCTCTCTCACTGAGTTTCTGGTGCCTCAATCCTGCTGTGGTGAGATTGCATTTGTACTTGAATTGATGCTTGCTTCCCAACTGTACTTCTAAATGTTACAAAGTTTACAGAACAGCTATAAATATTTAATGGAGACATCTGTGGTTCTATCCAGCATATACAGTACCAGTCAAATGTTTGGAAACACGTTCCAATTGTAATGTTAAGACGGCAAAAAAATTATTAAACATCATCCACATCATAAAGCTGCATGAGAAAATACCAAAATGTGCAATGCTTTTATCTCGGCAAAAGGTGCCTGCTAAGAAGAATCTAAATTAAATAACATTCTGTTTTGATGAACATACTGTATCTTGTTTACTTCGTAATTCCATCAGTATTTATTCATAATGTTGATGACTTTATTATAAATCTACAATTCAGGAAATTAAAAAAAACAAACAACAAATAATGATACTGAATTACATGGTGTTTCCAAACTCTTAACGGGTGCTGTACATTTGATACAAAAAGTCTGCACACATCTATTCAAATGTTTTTGGGGATGTAAAAAAAATAATAATTTCAAAACATTTTCTGCCACTAACCTCACCTTTAACCTGAAATCAATTGAAAAAAAAATTTTTTTGCAAGGGGAAGTAAAAATAAAAAAAAATGAGATAACGTGGTTACCCAAGTGTGCATGTGCTGTTGTCATGACTGGAGTTGTGGTTGTGTTCAGAATTAAACAATCATAGCTCAATCAAACTCATGTTAACTAGGAGTCAACACACAGGTTTCACTGTTTCAAATATCAATTCTTTATTTATCCATCCATTTTCCTATTTGCTTTATCCTCACAAGGGCATGCTGGAGCGTATCTTAGCTGTCTTCGGGCAGTAGGCGGGTGACACCCTGAACCGGTTGCCAGCCAATCACAGGGCACACAGAGACGTCCAACCATCCTCACTCACACTCAAACCTCGAGACAATTCTGAGTGTTCAATCTGCCAGCCATGCATGTTTTTAGAATGTGGGAGGAAACCGGAGTACCCGTACAAAACCCACGCAGGCACGGGGAGAACATGCCAAACTCCATACAGAAATACGACAACAGAAATCCGGACTGATGAACAGCTGAAGCTGTATATCAAGCAAGAACGCGAAAGAATTCCACCTACAAAGCTTCAAAAATTTGTGTCCTCAGTTCCCAGACTTTTATTGTTTTAAAAAAAAGGTGATATAACATCCATCCATTTTCTGAACGCTTTATCCGCACAAGGGTCGCGGGGGGTGCTGGAGCCTATCCCAGCCGTCTTCGGGTAGTAGGCGGGGGACACCCTGAACCGGTTGCCAGTCAATCGCAGGGAACATAGTGGTAAAAATGACCCTGCCCCAGCTTTTTTGGAATGTGTGCCAGCCATAAAATTCCAAGTGAAAGATTCTTTGTTAAAAACAAAATTTATCAATGTGAACATTAAATATATTTGTCTTTGATGTGTAGTCCGTTAAATATAGGTTGGATATAATTTAACACCGAATTCCAATGAAATTGAGACATTCAGTTTCATTGGAATTCTGTTTTGTTTTCGGATTCTAAAAATGCAGGCTCAGACAAAGTGTAATTACAAAAATATTTACTCAAGAAAATCACACCGACAATGTATAAACTGAAATCACTGTTCACAAGGTGCCAGAAAAAAGAATGCTCGAAACCAAAAGCGCTTGCAAAGGTAAGGTTAAATTGAATACAGAGAATATACAAACGAAATATCCAAAAGTACAATAACACGAAAACAAAAAGAAACACCAGAATAGCGAAAATACTTACAAACAAGAATCTATGAACAAAACCAAAAGCTAATAGTCTCGAGAGGTCTAGAAAATCACACTACAAGCACCACACTAAGCAAGGTCAATAATCCGACAAGGCGTAGCAGAAGTCAGAGTCCTGAAATACAAGGCTCGCCTTGATGGGGAAACGAGGCACAGATGCACCTCCAGCTGGAGCTGGAACACAATCAAGACAAAATATGACAGATTTGAGGATGACAATTTATTTCGTCTGGGGGACAAAAAAAAAGGAACAATTTTGTTGATTGAACCATGAATCCAAATTATAATTTTCATGACAGGCCTCATTGTGACGAACAAAATGGACATACAGCATTAAAAATGGTTGTTTTGTGCCTATTCAGCAGACACGGCCAGTGTCTAAAAGCTGTGGGAAAGTTGTTTTTTTTTCTCACCATTGTGAAGCCTGATGTCTTATATATAGCAATATTTTTATGACTTAAAACTTTTTTTCTCTTTACAAGGTTTGTTTAAGAAGTCTGGGAATGCTTCTTTTTTTGTGAAAAATAGTTCATTAAATATATATTTTGGACTTAATTTGTATGAAAACAGAGAAAACACAAACTTATTGTGATTTAAAATAATTATGCTTTTTACTGGGTTAGCCCACTTGACATCAAATTATGCTGCATGTGTCCTCTGAACGACAATTAGTTTGACACGTTTTTTTTTGGGGGGGCGGGGGGGGGGATACTGAGCTCAAGTGTCAGTAGTAACTTTTGCATCTTATGACCAGAGGTAGACAATAGTATTGATGTATTTATTTATTATTTTTTGATACTTATTGAAGCTAAAGTTTCAGTGGTAATTTTTGCATCTTATGACCAAAGTTAGACAATTTACAACATTTTGCCTGTCCATCATTCGTCAGCGCCCTGGACACCCCTCTGCCTTTCGTCTAGTTGCCTCAATTGAACTTTTGCCACCCACAAAACTGAGAATCTACACCAGCAATACTCAGCTCAATTCATGTCGGCCTCTTCATTCACTGCTTAGCCGCTAGCTTGTGTAGCATAGTAGACATCTTGGCAATGTCCTTCACAAAATGATGGAAATAATTCCAATACACAGGAATGGCTGGAGCTCTAAGTGTAATCTAAAATAAGATATGAAAAGAAATAAGCAGGTAACTGTTGTTTGTATTGTGTCTTTTATAGGCATTTTCTGATTTAAGTGGGACAGCGCACAGCATTGTTCTGACATCAGGGACGCTATCACCAATGGGATCCTTCTCCTCGGAACTTGGAGTGAAATTCTCTGGTCAACTGGAGGCCAGCCATGTCATCAACAAATCTCAGGTCAATATACTGTTTATGTCAGTCTACTGAATTAGATTTTGTGCTTTTCTTAAGTTGCAAAAAATAGTAGATGTCCTAAAAGTCATGAGCAGTGAAGTACGCAGTGTGTAATTCAGCCCGGGGATTTGTGATTTTTAAGATATCCTTTATTGTCCCACACTGGGGAAATTTACAGTCTACAGCAGCAAAATTGGGGGGTAGAAAAAAAAAGTGTTTGCATGCACAAAATAAATGTTTCAGAAGAGAACTCCCTGTGTGCGCAACTGAAGACTGAACAATTTTGTGTTTCTCTTGCCATGCAGCAAGGCCCCAAATACCAACCAATGATGGATGGCAGTGATTTTTGGGTCTCATCAGTTTTATAATAAACTGTACTATGCAAAATAAGAACTCTTTTAGTATGGCAGTCTTGACACACAGCTCTACTGGTTTGGTTATTGCTGGTTCCTGCTCCATTCTCCTCTTTCTCCCCAATAAGACCACCATTAATTAATAATAATAATAATGCATCAGATTTGTATGGTGCTTTTTTTTTGGGCAACCGGACTCTCAAGACGCTCACAATGGATGCACTCATGCATTCACTCTGTGGTGGCCATAAACTATGTTCTGTAGCCACAGCTGTCCTGGGGCAGGCTGACGGAAATGTGGCTGCCAGCGTGCGCTTTTGTCCCCTCCGACTATTACCAGACATTCACACCCAGCCGTAGACCAGTGTGAGTGACTCTGGAGGGAAGATCAGTGAAGTGACGTGCCCAAGGGCAAGACAACATACGACCCGGACAGAGCGGGAATTCAACAGTTGACCTTTTGGTTACTCCTCCTCCTCCTCCTCCTCGTCTTCCTCCTCCCACTTCAAGACCAGAACCACCTTGTCACAGGCGTGGTTGGGATCACCCAGACCCAGTCCCACAATAGCCCCTCTGCTTAGTGATATTCACCCGATGCTGGTGCTAATATTTACAATAATAATCATTGGGATTACGTTTTTTTTTTTTTTTTCTTAATACAAAGGCAATCCATGTAAGAAAGACCAGGCATACATTTTTTTACGTGCACACACACACACACACACACACACACACACACATACATACATACATACATACACACAGAGACAGGAATATCGCCAATCCATGTAAATAGAGGATTGACACATCAAAGTGTGAGATATCTCCCCCTTCCAACACATTTCATTCAAATGATCAGGTAGATGCTCTTGGGACCGGTTATTATGGTGACTCTTTTTTCGACCCGGAAGTAAGACACCTGTCTAACAAAAACCCTGCCTCTCCCCTTGTGGGTGTCACGCTCCTTTGTCATCCTACAGCCGACTATTGTGTGTACCACTCACGAAACATCCACTATAATAATAATAATAATACATTACATTTATAAGCGCCCTTCAAAACACTCAAGGACACTTTACAATCAAAACAAGAACAATAAAACCACAGATAAAATTATAAATAATAAAAGGAGAGATGGATTTAAACTGAATTTAGCGACTCGAAATAGTTGACGCCAGCAACATCGCTGCCGCAAGGAGCACCAGCTGACCCAGCCAGGCCGGCGAACACGCCGTTGTCCGTGGATCGGCCGCCGCCCCCGCCCCCGCCCCCG